TTTCTGTCGATCTCAACGTCATCGTCATTCGCCCCAGACATATACTGATGCCGTCGTCTTGAAAGGTTTCCGAGCCGGCGGAGGCCTTTCTGCTTAGTTTCCTCGTCTCAGACAGTTTTTTTTTTTCTGAAATATTTGTTTAGTCGCTGGAACGATCGATACAGGGAGTCGAAGCGTCCTGATGCAATGCGGATCGGTGAGAGAAGGTCGATGTGCGGCACAATGGTTCCATTAGGCTGAAATGATGTCCCTCAGTCTAACTCTAGTTACTCCGCTTTTCATTTCGGCGGACTCAGTGAGTGACATTAGACAGACGTGCTCCTCAGCTTGCACACGGGGCAGCATATAGGTAGATAGGCAAATGGCAATGCCCACTTCTACAGTGGCATTTTAGTGATGGGATTTTTGATGAGCATCCCCGAGTCATCTAGGAGATGTCTGCACTAAATCATCGCTCGGATGCCTTCACTAATTATCCTGATTTGAACCCATTGCCTTGAATGCTAGGTGCCCGGGCCTGAATATCATGGTCCACGTTCACGTGGGACACATGGGACATGGGAACCTGGGACGCGCTCCACATTATTGTGAAGGAATTAGCAGACCTATCGCGTGCTGTTTTTTTTTTCTCTCAATCGGCATTGCTTCCGCTGCCGATTTCTTATTAGATGCAGACTGCATAGGTATTCCATTGCAAATAATCGGGAAGCGTTCACAAATAATTCGTGCATTTCTGGTAGCTTTCCGTTTTTACCAAACGATCATTGACATTACTCATGAGGACTTTAAGTTTTGAGCAATGCTAATCATCTAAAATAGATAGCAGACATTTGCGGTTTCAGCAAAACTTTTGATGCTGGACGTGCTCTGGAAGACGCCATTTATTTAATTGTCTACAAATAAAATGCTAATAGGATCCATGTACTACGTTGTATCCCCGATGACATCTGCATCAGTTTCCCAGATACATCAGTATGCATGCGTCAATGCAAAGTATGCCCGGCATCTGCCGGGGGATGTCGAACAATGTGTGGGGGGAGGTGGGAGAGGGAGGGGGAGGGGTCGCCCGGCTGCGAGCCAGTGCGTGGGTGTGGGCCGGGCGTGCGGGCCAGGGCTACCGCCTACAGCTGTCCGACCTGAAGAGAATTTGCCGCGCCGGAACCGGTGGGCGGCGACTGACGTCACGGGGATAATAAGGGCGTCAGGAGGCGGTGGGTGAGAATATCTCCAGGGGGGAGAGGGGGGGAGGGAGATAGCCTGCCCTGACCGGCCCCCGGGCACAGCGTGGAGGTCGGCCGTCGATGAAGCCAGACCGACTCTGAAAATAATCACGTTGCAGTGCGCGAGCGGCGCCGGTAGTGGAGGCGGCGATAAAAGTGAACCGTTGTACCCGCTCCCGGCTGTCAGGGTGACTGTCACCACCGCTCGGACGGGAGGTGTCCCGACAGCTCGGCGGGCGCGGACGGCTGCCCCCTACCCCGTCCTCCTCCCCACCCCTGTCTGGGGCGTGTCAACTGCCGGTGGGCGCCCGAAATTATGACGTCATGACAAGGCGCAGCGGGCGTCAGATAGATCTGTCGTCTGTCTCCCAGACAGGGTCGCGAGGAGCGAGGCGACGTTGAAGGATGGGGTGGCTCAATTGGATATATTATCTACATAGGAGTGGCGCCAGAAATTATTTGTGGTCTCCGTGAGTCTTGTGATATGATTTATGGCACATGCGTGGCACACGCCCTTTTTCATGTCCTGTTTCGCCAGCTATATTTCTGTCCTTTTTGCATCCTTTAGGTACTTGGTGCTGCGTAATCACTGAAATTTGAGAGTGATCAGCTGAGAACCTTCCCCATCTTCCCCACCCCTCTACCAAGTGGTGGGTGGTAAAAATGAATGCATTGGCGTCTTCCCCCCGGGGGGGGGGGAGGGGGTCGGCTTGGCAGGACACCCCGCCTCGTGGGCCGCCCAGGTAGGGTAGGGTGGGGTGGGGTGGGGTGGGGGAGGGGAGACTGATATGTCCGCCGCCGGAAATTGTTGCGCGGTCTGGCCAGACGGGGGGGGGGGGGGGGTTGCACAGGCGGGAGGGGCCTTGTAGAGAGTCCAGGATGACGCACGTCGGGCCGACGTCAAAGAGAGAATGGTCGAGAGCATTAGTCACCACTCATCAGCATAGCATACGTTTGTGGTATGTTCACAGAAAATGACGCTGTACATTTTGAAAATGACCACAATTTGCATTCAAATTGACAATGTGTCAGACTACAAATTATGATTTTCAGTATGCGCCGGCTATCAGTTGACACTTGGGTTAGAACCCCTAGAGGTTAATGTGTAGAAAATTGCTAGATATTTACGAGTGCCAGGCACCAGCTCGGTAAAAGGAGAAATTCGGGTTCACGAAGGACCCGCGCTTTCCACTAGCAGTTTGTTTGTTTCAATGTTTTTTGCTTAATCACCACGAAAAGTTTTGCTGGGCATTTGTATCACGCTTAGGTATATCCAGACAAAAGATTCCCTGAAATGCTTGCATTCAAGCTTTCGACTTTCGAGCATCGTTAGTTTGACCCTTGAACCTGAAAATGTCACAGCTTGTCAGCGCCTGGTTCTGCGCAATAGTTGCCGGTATGTTTCTATCAATAGCCTGCCATATTGGGTGGGCTGCCAGAGAACGCCTGAAGCAGCTGCTCTGTGCAACTCCCGTGACCCGTCCTGGCCGACTGAGTGACCCGGCTAGAGATCAGACACCGCCATCTGACCGACTGTCTGACCCATTGACTGCCGTCTGACCCGCCGTCTGACCGACTGTCTGACCTGCCGTCTCAGGCCGACCGTCTGACCTATCGTCTGACCTGCCGTTTGACTTACCGTCTGATCCGCTGCCTGACCTATCCTCTGACCGACCGTCTGTCTTATCGTCTAGAATCAGTAGATCGACCGTCTGACCCGCCGCCTGACGTTTCCGTATTGTCGAGATCTGTTCTAATGTGCGACCGATTGCCGCCCGACTACCGCCATTATAGTTGGCTGGGTCCATCTGCTGTGTCGGAAATGGAATTGAGAAAATAAGCGCGTTTGTTTAAATTGTTTTGATGTCATGTTGATGTACAAGTTTGTCTTTATTTGTGTCATCAAATCGTACCGTTTTTGAAGTATCAGCCAGCTATAACTGCGCAGTGCATTCCTTCGAAGCCTCTTCCTTATTTCGAAAGAACCCATCTCGTCAATGATCATCTGATGTGTCTTTGAGTTAATCCATCAGCTTATCAGGAAGCTGAGCTACCTCACGGCGGTATTCACATGCGCTATGCACAGCATTCCTCTCCCACAAACTACGTATGATCAGAGCGATGCCACTGAATAACCACCGCCGATCAATCTCATTCGGAAAATTCCACCGACATTTTATCATCGGTTCTACGTCCCCGTCCAATGTTTTCCGCTTCACTGTGTTGAAGCCCGCTCTGCTCAATACTCATACTCGGCCGATGGGCTCAGCGCCACCGTTCATGTGTGGGAGGAGTGCAGTCCACCCGGTCTGTCCGTCGCACTTCCCCCACGACCCCGTGTCTGCAGCGTATACGAAGGCTGGCTCACGCCTTGGGATGAGCAATAGTGGCGGCAACGAAATTCGTTTTAACCCTCACAGGTGGGGAAGTTATTTTGGGGAAGCTATTTCGATTTGGCGTTGTTCGGAGTAAGCCAATTGCTTCGCGATGGCATAAAGCAACGTAGTGCCCCCCAATTTTTTTTTTTTAAAGACAATGTCGCGTAACGTTTCGAAAATTTCAATCCGACGCGCTGAGTGTTAAAGGGTCCTGAAGCCTCAAACAGCCGGAGAGGCGCTTCTCAGCGGGAGCCGCTGAGGGCGGGGCTCCGCCATGTCCCGTTGGTGAAGTTCAGGGTCAGTCTGCGGTGTACCCCTCCCGAGCCCCCGCAGCGGTGTTGGCCGCCGGACTGCAACGGTCTGCCAGCCGCCGGCGGCCAGACAAGCCTTTTCACGGCCAATCTGGCGGGGCGCGGCGGGCGAGCCCCCGCCGGGTCCCGCCCGGGCGGGGGCGGGGGCGGGGGCGCGGTGTTTGCGGGGCTCGCTGGCGGCCGGCCGCGCTGGATTCCGCGACAGCGTCGTCGGAAATGCCTCGGCGGCGACGGACTCGCTGCACTGGCCAAGGTCACTCACTGCGCGCAGCCGGGCACGGTGGACCTGTGGGGTGGGGAGGGTAGGGGTGCCGAGCGCACGGGCCGAGAGGTAGAGGAGGAGGGTGAGGGGGGGGGCGGCTTCCACCTGCCCAGATGATGACGTTGAGTGATTTGAAAAGTAATAGACTCGATTCTGGATTTACCTTTGTCCAACAGTCTGAACATTGAATGTTTGCTGGATAAGCTACTCAGATCTTTATTCCGCTGCATTGTCGTTTTGCTATTTACTACCTGTGATCAACTTCTGGACGTTTGTCCTAGATCGATTCTTAACACAGCCGAGAAAATGGGTCTGCCCGGGAAAGTCAATACCGCGCCGAAGCTGCATCCTTAGAAATGCCTTTAAAAACCAAATATATTTCACAGTTCGATAAACAGTTTCTGGTTTTAGCCGGTTTCCCTATAGGTGCGTAACGGAGGTTGCATCCGCCTGTGGGGCGATTACTCTGAAATGATCGTCAATGACCTGTTCAAATAATCATTTGCTCCCACGCAGCTACCGTTGTTAGGTAACATAACTGCATTGTTCGATAGTCCATCGAAAGACGCGCATTTTTTATTATGTTAATTGTTACGTACTCCTCACCTCACATATAACTACACGCACTTTTTTTTTGCACGGGCAGTATTTACTTGACTTTTTTGTCAATGGACAAAACAAATAAGCTGCCTCCTTGCTAGTATTATCCTGACCGGAATGGTTGATAAAGGAAGAAGGGAGGCAGTTAGCTTTCTGTCAACATTTTCATCCCCTTCCCCTGATAGTTATTCAATTTGCTCTGTGGTGAAACCCTGTCTCTATTTTTCAGCAATTTTTCCCGGACAGTATGATCGAGTTGCCGAATGGGAAGAGTTCGGCCAACACCACCAGTCTGGCCAGGATTATCGCTCTGCAGGTAAGTCAGGTCGTCTCGGCGACGTGTGGGCAGTCGTGACTCGGTTATTAGTAATCGTGATAAGGCCGCTCCTAGTTGACCGAGGGACTCCCCCCAGACTGCTGCCTTTCTGAGCAGACACTCGCTTCTCCGCGCAGCTATTGCGTCTGAGCTACTATACTATGTCGACTGAAAGCATGCTTGCTTATATAACCACATACGAGTAAAATCCCAGCCAAGACATCCTCAGTACTCTCGGCTTGACTGAAAGGGAACAGCTTCAACTTCTGTCATTTCTATCTCATTTCTATCCCACTTTGCCACTATCTTCCTTCTTCAAATGTAAGACGCCGAGTTCTATATATCCCGATGGTGGATCGTCACAGGCGGCACCCACCACCTGTCACGGCTGTACTATCCGCTCTTCGCCGAGTGGCTCTGCCTGTGGCGACTGAAGTATCGATTAGCCGATGGAGAGGTCGGAGCTTTGGGTAAGCTTCCTCCAGACAGCTCAGACAGCCAGACAGCGTCTTTGACAGCGTCTGAGCCTTCTTCAGACAGTGTGTAAGGCCTAGCTGGCTAGTCGCCAATCGGGGTTTCGTGTATTTTTTCCTATTTGTTTAGGGCCTGCCGCACATTCCTTTTTCGTGACCATTTCGTTTCGAGGCTTAGGAGTCGATCACGTTGTGGCTTAATCAGTTATGCCCTTTCGAGGTATGAAAAATCATTTGGTATCCGCATTTTGATCTGACATTTCACGAGACATACATACCTGGCTTGCGATAATGTCTGTGTACCAAGAATAAAAACATGCAAATATTTGTGACCTGCCGTTGGTTTCGGAAGTTTCTTGCTAAGCTCATTGTTGACCGTGTCTTTGGTATTAATAGGTACTCTGCTTTTAATAGTGAGATAAATATATGTTTCTGTCGGCTATGTGCGGCTGGAAATGACACCAGGAACTAACAGTAACAACTACTGGAAAGTTCAATGCTTTTGTCACTCCGAAGCATAGTTACCATAATTGGGTTACTGCTCGGTTCACTGAGTGTCAGGGGGACATTTGACATAAGCAGTAGCGACCCTCGCATGCAATGCAAGTATCAGAACTAAACGACAGTTTGTCATCCGAGTCGTTATCTGAATAATTACTAGATGCCGGCAGCGCTCGTGCGTTGCCTTGGGCCAGAATTGGAGGATCCATAGCCCAATGAAATGTGCATTATTTTGGAGGCCTTGCCTGGGACTACCATTGAACCGATTTTGAGGTTGATAGCTTAAAATTTCTTTGAGCCAGAGGACCTCACGTCAAAACGGTTTTCCGACCCCAGCACGTGCAGCCTGCACCCCTCGCAGACGGTGACCCCCCTGGAAACTGGTTCAAGGTGTTACCGATGTGTCCCGCCAGTATGGCTTTGCCCGTGACCTCGGGCTGACCTGTAGCCTTGACAAAAAATTTCGTGTCACCGAAACTTTGAAGCGGAATAGCATGTGCCACGAAGCACCGAGCGAACCGAGGCCAGCACCAAAAGTTTACCTCGCCGGAGACGAATCAAACGATCCCACTTTCGTCCCGATCGGTCCACCCATTTTGACTCCAGGTCCAAAAAAGCTTGGACAAACTCACTCACATACTCACTCACTGACAAACAGGTTCAGCCGAACTTTTTTTCAGCGACCCACCAATGGGAATTTCCGGATGCAAAAGCATGCTATCGCATGCTTTTGATCCTCCAATTCTGGATGAAGGCAGAGGAGGACTAGCACCGTTTCCTTGCGAGGGGATGTTTCTTATTGCATGCATGCTTTTTGCAACAAAGAACTGCGACATTTCCAGGAATACTCAACCCGCGACCTGGTGTGGGGGGGGGGCTATTTTTTGCCCCCCCCCCCTCCAGACTTTTCGATATATCTCCAGAACCGCTGCGCCGATCGTCACCAAACTTTCAGTACCCTCCCGGACATCAATTTTACACATTGTGACCAAAAATTTTTTCCAAAGACTGTGATAGGTTGGCCGGAAATGACGTCAGAGTGACGTCATGTTCTGCCGTTTTCGACCCAAAAAAAGGTTTCGCGGGAAGAGCTGTCAGGCCTATAGCTTTGCAAATACAGAAAAATGATAAAGACATAAAAGCTGTAGATTGAACAGGGCTACAAAACTGCTATCTCGGATTTTTGAAAGTTTTGGATTTTGACCCCCAAAAATCAAAAAATAGATTTTTCGGATATAATAATCGAAAAATCCAAAAAGTTTTTTGAATTTCGTAAAAACCGGAATATATATGATAGTCCTTACCGCCTTCCATCCACATACCAAATTTGAGATTGATACCTCTTTTTTTTGGCGAAGTTATAGCGAAAAAACTGATCAAAATTGGTGACGTCAAATTTTCAAACTCAATTTTTAGCAATTCTAGACCCCGTAGCGCAAAACAAAGACCACCATTAGACTCCCCGTGACGAGCTGCATCGAATCAATACCCATTTTATGCAAAACTATCAACTTTAAAATTTGACCTTTTTTGGCCTGACCTTGACCTGACCTTGACCTGAACTTCACCAGAAAGTGACCTAAGCCGTACTTGATAGTCTTATAACCAACACCATTGAGTTGGAAATGAAAAATTGGCCATAAAACATGTATCACACAACCTTAGTAAAGTTGGGCTCATGTGACCTGACCTGTGACCCTTGGTGACCTGACCTGTGACCTGACCTGGTATTGCCAGTGACCTCTAATAGCAACATATCTACTAGGCAACTGACGCCCTACCGCTGATTCTCGACAAAATGCGTTTTCCTCGGTGTTATAGCGCATTCCCTAGAACACCCGTGAACGGAGAAACATTTCATCTTTGACCTGACCTGTGACGTCATCGGTGACCCCGAGGTCAATGAAATTTGGTTTCTTGCGACAAATTTGACAGGCCTTTCGAACGCCGTTTGAATTTTGCGGATCCGTCCAGTAGTTTCGGAGATACGAGGGGGGCAAAAAATAGCCCCCCCCCCCCACCAGGTCGCGTTATAAACAGACCCCACCAGGGCGCGGGTTAAGACATTGAGCAGCGGGCTCATAAACATCAATACAACCGATCAATACAATACAACCGAGTAATAACGGAACATCAATGCAACCGATCCCCAGCAACCACGGATCATAGAAAGCTTTGTGACAGCAACAACATCCGCTGCTTCCAGTCAGCCGACTGATGTGGACTCGCGTCTCACTCTGAAAATTCGCGCCGTATCCGGCCGCGCAGAGGTGCTCGTGGTCTCTCCCCTCCCCCTCCCCCTCTCTCTCCCTCCCCTCTCCCCCAGCCACCACTCCCTGCCTTCCTCTCATGTCACGCCCGGCAGCCATCGGAGAGGGGTCACCGTTGGACTCCCCAATGATTCACCGCCGGCCTGTCGTGACCGGCATTCAATCGACCTGGCTCGACACAGCGATTGGGGCAAAGGCAGATCATAGCTCTGTCGTAGTCAGTTTGTGATATTGTTTGAAACGTCTCCGCACTGTATGCTGAGGTCGTCTCGTGATGCGCCAGATGTGCGGAAAGGCTTGACAAATGTTGTGTGAGTCGGGCAGTTGTGTGAGTGGGAGCGGCAATCGGCATTGAGTAATAACGTCTGAAAAATCCTAACCCAGGCCGTGAGAGCTGGGCTGCCGCATCTCTAAATGCTGAAGAGCCAAGCGGTTAAGTACTTTTCTGTACCGAACTGATCAAGGAACGTTTCCGAATAACATCGGAGGAAGTGGACGGGGGACGGTGGATGTGATGGACGAGTTTCACCTGAGGAGTCATGAGAGCCATGCCGTTCCTAAGAGCTCGCTACATTGCTTGCCAAGTGTTTCGTGCCAGCTGTAGAAACTGCTCAGCTGAACGAAGACTGCGGTAACAATATGCTGGCTTATGTGCAATCGATCCACGGATATGTATAATTGATACCCGCATTTCAATTTATTTCTTTCGGAATATACCTACAATTATTTCGTGAATACAAGAAACAGTGCAGCATGTTTGCAAACAAAAGTTAAGCATTGCTGCCATCATTATTTAATTTATTCTGAATCAAAGTTCCGCTGAATTCAGCTCGTTTGCTGGCATCATTTGCTCGCTGAATTATGGGACATCGGCTTCTGACCACAGCCCTCCATGTTTTTTATGTGCTGTTGTATGCGAGCGTTTTGTTACGCTGACCGGCGGCACCTGGCTGCTGCTTTAATTTCCGCCCAGCGTGGATCCTTTGTTCCGCACGGCGTTGTGCCTCGTTATCTTCATTGCTGCAACGTTCCGCTGTCGGCAGTTGCACCGTTAGCCTGTGATCGAATCAGACGTTTCCAAATTCCTGTGACGGCCGCCGGAAACCAGCGTTGTAAGATAATTAATCGTTTGTCAACCGCAGTTTGAACTGTCAGGTTGGGCTTTTGGCGGCGCTCAAAGCTCCTGTCTTCCTATATTTTATCACGCTCATCGTTTGTTATCGACTCGAGCTTATGCCATTTCGTTTATTTGACATAAGCCTACAATAATAGCATGTCTACCCGTATGTTATTATCCACTGACTACTCATGACCTAAGGTGCAAGATGCAAGTAGCAGGGCAGGCAAAACTCATCACACCGTTGAGTTTTGAGCGCGGTAAATTTATTGTACATGCGTCATTCGTAATGCGATCATGGCATGCCGTCAGTATGCAGCATTTATTCTAGTCACACTTAGAGCAGTCATTTACATCCGGACATCATGACGAATTCGTCGCTCCAGCATTCGTCTCGGATTGTTCCGACGATTAGTGGCGCATTCGTCTCTTTCTGAGTACGGCCTGCAGTGACGCCGAGTGGCGTACGACGGCGTGTTTTGGCGCTGTTGTGGCGAATAGTGGCGCCCTGCGCCGCTATCTGTCATCTTGGGATGACAGCCGGCAGATCTGCATGTCACATGGAGGTCAGCAGACGGCGAAGGCGATTATATTTGGTTCTCTGAGGCGTCGGTTTGTGACCGCCGCGCCGATTCGCCT